AGATTTTATCGTTCAATATTTTGACGTTCAATTGTTTGACATTCAATGTTTTGAAGGCCTCCCGTACCATACTATTATAGTATACTAGCATGTCATGTTATTCTTATCTTATCTAGACAGTGACTGTTGTATACTTTTATGTCTATTTTTAAAATACTTTTGAGTAAGGGTATTGTCATTATATTGATTCATATAGAATTATATTATTATTATGGTCGTCAACTCGACACTCGTCTGTCGAACACTCACATTCAGCGCACGCGGCACGCCGTACGCACGCCCAGGTATTTACCTTAATATTTTTAAATGGTACCTCTAAGCGGATGTACCAAACGTAAAATTAAACTACAAAAAGAAGATCTAACCAAAAAATTAGCCGGGTCTCTTATACGGTTTGTAAAAGCGAAACCAAATAGCTTGGTGGTCTCAGTAGATTTGCCTGCAGCACATACTGATGCTTATATTGGTAAGTAATAACTGAAATAAATAAGATTTGTTTTACACGTTTTATACAATGTTCTATAATTTTATTTTAAAATGTATATTAAATAGGTACCTATATATAGCATGTAGGGTTGGTTATAAACACGAGCAGTTATAGCTTTTGTTATGTTTTGGTTTTTTCCTGGAATATAGTTAATACAAATGAAGATACTAATTTGGAAACCAATATTGCCGAGATTAATGCAATTGAGTACATTGAATGTGAAACTCTGATTCTAAAACGTCTGAAACGGAACTCAAAATGGATCTTTCTATTGATTCTAATGGTATTTTGTACATTTTTTTATTAATTCCATTTAACTTAATAATATGTAATCGTTTAGTTTTAACTTTTAAGTTTATAAAGATAATTATTTTTAAATAACAACTCCTTATATAAAAATACAATTTCAAAAAACCACTAGGTATATAAGAACTAGTATGATTTAAAAAAACTAAACATTTTGTATTACTTAGAGAAGACCTAAAATAGGGTAATAGGTACTATAATTAAATAATTATATATAGGTATTAAATAGAAGATCATTTTAAATATATATATTAAACATTTTATGGGTAATTAGATAATTTTTAGAAAAGTAGGTATTTGTTTAATGATTAAAAATAACCAATGAACCAACATAATAATAATAATAATTATTATTATTATTCTATATATTTAACAATTTTTTTTTTTAATATTTGAATATGATCAGATAAAGATTTGGATTTAAAAGAATAAGAGTTTCCAATGGATAAAAGATATTTTCAAAAATAACAGTTAAAAATTAAAAAAAATTAAATAAAAATATTGTATCGGTTTAAATTGTTTTTTTCTTTTTTTGCATGTGATGTAACCACTGTATGATTACAATATTATACGTTTTCTTAAAAAAACTAAAAAGAAATAAAATATAATTTTGTTCGACCATAACTTATGGTTAGGTTAAAAAAAAATATATATATTCTAAATATGCTTTTACTATAATATTCCCACTTTTAATATTTATTTAATTATAAGAGTATTCAACTGTCAATTCGTTTTCAAATCCAGGTTTTATCAATACGAGCAGTGACGATTTTGACAGTAGTGACGAATCAGAAAAATGTGAGATTAAAAGTATTTCTACAATTAATGAAGTAATATCAGCTCCTAATCCTACTTATAACTCGATTGATAAAGTAATATCTGGACCAGGAGATCTTTCTCAGACATTGGAAAATGGACCAAATCAACCTAAATTGGTATGTTTTCCCAAAACAAAGTATGGTAATCGGATGAGACATTTTTCTCTAAGTTGGTATAAAATATATAATTGGATTAAGTATAGTATTATCAACGACTATTTTCTGTTTTCAGTGTCGTTTTTTTTTAAAGAATAATAGAGAAAAATCCATTTTTGTGAATGAAGGTTACAATAACTGGAAAAATGCATTGGGTAGTAATAGTGGTTTAAAAAAACACCATATAAGTAATGATCATAAAACTTCCCATGCAATGTGGACATCTTATTTAGATATGAAAAAAGCAGGTAATGTTTCTGTGGCCTCTCTAATAAATGATGGACATCTGAAGCTAGTAAAAGAAAACCGTAACTTCATTAAGTCAATAGGAAGGGTTTTGTTGTATACAGCAGTACAAGGCATAGCTCATAGAGGTGACAATGAAGGAGAAAGCAGCCTCAATCGTGGAAATTTTGTAGAACTTTTGAACCTTATGGAAAATTGTAATGATGAATTTAAATCAAAAAGCAGATCATTACCAAATAACGCCAAGTACACTAGTCCACAGATTCAAAATGATATGTTGTTAATTTTTAATGATATAATCCAAGCCATAATAAGTGATGAGCTACAAAAGTCTCAATATTTTTCTATTATAGTAGATGAAACAAAAGACATAAGAAAAATAGAGCAGATATCAGTAGTTATAAGATACTTCTTGAATGGTGTAATTTATGAGCGTTTTATGGGTTACCGAGCAGCTGAGTCATTATGTGCTAAATCTCTTCTTGTATATATTAAAGAAATTATTGCCAATAGTAATATTGATATTATGAAATGTGTTTCACAAAATTATGATGGGGTCAGTTGAGTGGACGGTTGAATGGGGTTCAAGCATTGTTTCGTGAATAAGTACCTCAAGCCATTTATGTGCACTGTTATAACCATAGAATTAATCTCATTATATCCGATGTTTGTAAAAATGTAACAAATGTAAAAATGTTTTTTTATATAGTGGAGAAATTATATATATTTGTATCCGGTTCTTCTGTACATCCAAAATTTGTTAAAATTCAAAAAGATATGAAATACAAATCTATTATTGAGCTAAAAAGAGTATGCTTGACACGATGGACGGCACAGGTATTTGCTTATGTTTCATCAAAAAAAGTATTGAGCCCTCTTCTGGTTTTATTAAACAATTTAATTAATGAAAAAAGTGATAGAGCACCTGAGTCAAAAGGATTACTTCATTTGATAGATTTCAACTTCATCTTTAATTTGGTTATGTTCTGTTATATATTAGGACTATTTAAAAATACAAGTGACTATTTACAGAATGTAAATGTAGAAATGGCTGAAAGTTTAACTTTAATTTCATCAATAAAAAATGTTTTTCAAAGTATGAGAGATGATGACTCGGAAATTAATGTCACTTTCAATAAACTTTATATTTAAGCTACTAATATTAGTAAAGAAAACAATATAACAATACCTATTCAAAATTCAAATAAGAACAATAGAACAAAAGAAATCCCAGAAAAGTTTCGGCAGTTTATTTTTACAGAAGAAAGTTCTTTAGAAAAACAGAAATTCATTTGAAACTTAATTTATTTTTACCAACATTAGATTACATAATTAATGAACTTTACAAACGATTTACAAATAATACAAATATACTATCTTCCATATCTTATTTGCATCCACAAAATGAAAATTTTTTAAATTATGAACAATTAAAACTTTTGGCCCTTCACTACAATATAGATTTAGAAATGTTCCAGTCAGAAATTAAAATACTACCTACTACTATTAAGATATATGAAATCCAAAATAATATAAAAATTAAAAGCTTAATGAATCTGGTCGATCTCCTTGAAAAATATAAAATAGTATTTAATGAAACTTATAAATTAACCATTCTATCAATCACTATTCCAGTATGCAGCGCAGCATGTGAAAGGACTTTTTCATGTCTAAGAAGATTAAAAAATTATATGCGAAATTGTATGTCAAATGACCGACTCGTCAGTTTGTCAAGTATTTGTATAGAAAAAAAATTGCCAAAAGTTTGGACCTTGATGAATTTGTTACCTAATAGATTCTCTATTAAACATAAAAATAGAAAAAATACTGTTATATTAGAACATAAATTATATTAATTGTATTTAATTTAAAGATTATGTCTATATATTGAATACCTATTTCAATTTTATTATTATAAATTATTATAATTATTAAAAGCATCATTTTTATTTATGTATTTTATCAATTTTTTTTTTACTACACTTATTAGTGGAACTTCTTAGTGTACACTTATTATTGGCATAATGATAAACTATAGTATTATTAAGTTATATATTTATAGTAATGATATTCTGATAACTACCTTTTTATAATATAAAAAGGTAGGGGGCCCATCTAACATTGGCCCACCTAGTGAATATTTTCTGACTACGTGTCTGCATCTGTCATCAGTCATAAGCGTATTCAATAAAATATTAAAAATGTTTATAACTTAGGATCATTTTAAGACCAACTTTTAATAATTGTATTATAGTTACGTAACAAAAATATATATATAATTTTTTTTAATTGATCTTTAAAGCCTGGTGACTATGGCCATTAGCTGATTGTGGGGTTTTATGGTTGTAGGTAGTAGGGTTTTTACACGTGTGTGTTGTGTTTGACAGAATTTTTGATTGGGCACCCGTAGGTAACTGACATGTCTGGGTGCGGGATGGTGGAAATTGTTCTCCGGACACCGTGACTTGTCCGAAGAAAAATGCCACCCATGGCCAAGGAATCGAACTCGGGTCGAGTTTTTTTTTAAAACTTTTGTTGCTGTATGACATTTCAATGCTTGGAAAATGAATGATATATATCATAGTTACGATAAATTATACTTGTCAATTGTCAAATTACTTGTCAAATTATACTTGTCAAACTACCAAAATACATTTATTATATAAATGAGCACTTATAAACTATATATATTTCAGTATTTATGTATATTTTTTTTTTTCAAAATACAGGGTCCGGCAAAAAAAACCTCCCGTATTTTTAGACGTTTATATTTAAAGCTATTTATAGATAAAATGGCATTCCGGGTATAGATAGATAGAGGTCTACGTGCCGTTTTTAGTAATCATAATGGCGTGGCATGGTGAGCATCGCGCATTTGTCGTAGAGGAATATATCCGTAATGGTGGTTCTGCGATTACTACTCAGCGAGCATTTCGCATTCGATTTCAACTTGGCCGACATGATCCTGTTCCGGATAGAAAAACAATTCAAGTTTGGTTATCAAACTTTAGAGCAACGGGTTCTGCGCTAAAGAGAAAATCGTCTGGCCGACCTTTAACCGCAACAACGCCGGATAATGTGGCACGTGTAAGTGCGTCTATCCAGCAATCTCCGAGGCGTTCAGAACTTAAACATGCAGCTGTCTTTACTAGGAACCACAAAGAAGTCTGGTTCCAACAAGATGGAGCCACAGCACACACTTCACGGCGTTCACTAACCATTTTGAGAGAGATGTTTCCAGGGCATCTTCTTTCTTTACGAGGAGACATTACCTGGCCACCAAGGTCCCCCGATTTATCACCTTGTGATTTTTTTCTTTGGGGACATTTAAAGGCCCAAGTCTACACTCATCGCCCAACATCTTTGGAAGCACGTAAGGAGGCAATCACTCAGGAAGTGGCAGCCATTACACCACAAATGACTCGACGAGCAATGGAAAACTTCCGGGAAAGGCTTCGTAAATGTATTAATAATAGAGGACAATATTTAACGGATATAATGTTTAAAACTAAGTAATTATTTTATTTTATGTAAAATGGCATAGTATTTAATTTAAAAAATTCAATAAAATTTTTCTGTTAAATTGTTTATTTATTTGTCATTGCCTTTTAAAATATGGGAGATCTTTTTGCCGGACCCTGTACATTACACATAACAATTTTTGTAATTTTTATTTTTTTTTTTGGTCGCGTATAGAGAATTTTTCTCAGCGTGTGCATACGAGTCTCGTTAAACAGATACTGACAGTATATAATCAATTACAAAGTCGTTTAGTGCCCATCTATTTTTAGATTATCTGTATCTGATAAGGTATTACAACTAAGGCCTTCCGCACACTACGTGATTGACATGCGACGCAATTGACCAACGATAGGTGCGATAAGTGCAATTCATGCGATTTGTGCGATTTGAGGTCCACCAACGCGAAACGATATTCAGTCGATCATACTGTGTCAATCGCGTCACTTGTTTTGATCTGTTTTCAATTTTTTTTCAATTTTCAAAAAAAAAATGTCTAGTTCGACTAGTTCGAGTGATGAAGAAGATATTGTTATGTACTATTGGTACAAAAGGATGCAAACAAAAAAGAAAAGGAAATATTGGGTTCATCCTTATATTGAGAAAAATATCAACTGCCGAACTTTTGTAGCTGCCAGAGAACTACAAGAAACCGATGCAACATTTTTGGCATTTTATAGGATGTCTAGAGAGTCCTATACAGAACTTGTAACAATTATTTCTCCTGCCATTCATCAGCAGAACACTCACCTGAGAGAATGTGTGAGTCCAGAGGAACGGATATTAATCACATTAAGGTAACGTTCATTGCATTGTTTATTATAATATATTTATAATTAAATACTACATAATTATATTGTAAATAGTAGCACCTAAGTAATTAAAAGTTAATGTTTACAACAAAATTAAAACATTTTAAAAATAAAATCAAACAATCAAATATAAAAATTAAAGAATAACAGTTACAATTAGTAATAGTAGTAGTAATTAGGAGTGTTTAAAATGTAAACTTTGTAACAGTGTCCGACGACCATATAAAATTTAAAATACTATAAGGTCAAATAATGTTGTTTATCGGTTTCGTCCTCGGATGAGAATGACGATAAAAACGAACCGGCTGGAGATTGCTGTAAACGTGTTTCTACGGATGTAGCAGGACTAAAAGTACAAAGGTTTGTTCCAAGAATTTCATCTATGATAGCAATAGACCTCCTCTTGCACGTTCTGAGTTGTGCATCAGTCATAGTCAGCAGATCTGGTATTAGGCTGTTCAAAAACTGTTGAATAGAATCGGCTCTTATATCACGAGGAGAATTGTTGATCTTGGCTTTTTTAGATTTAAAATACTCAATAAAGGCTTCATCAGCATCACTAGAATTGTTATTTTTTTTACGGGCGATTTTTTTTGTCGATTTTTGACTTTCAGCCTGTTCTGGTTGGCTAGAATGCTGAATACTTGATTGTGTCGGTGGGGGAGGCATAGGTAATGTTTCCAGTTGAGGAGAGTGTGGCTGGTTTTGTATTTCAGAAGACTCTGTTACCTCGGATGTATCCAATAGGGTGTTTTCCCACATATCAGTAGTTTCAACATTTTCATCTGATGGAATAGGTGGCAAATTTCCACTTGGTACAGCACTAGTTTTAAGGAAGGGTACCGTAAACTGCATTGCATCATTTAGGTAATATGGTTTTTTTGCTTAGGATCCGCTAGCAGGGATTTTCATACTCCTAACGAAAGTAGTTCTTAAATTCCTCCATTTCTCCTTACATTCGTTCACTGCAATAATACACACGCATAATATATAAAACGTATTATTTATTAATGGAATTTAGTTTAGGCCATCTAGGTGGTAGAATTTTCCAATCAATTTTATTTTATAAATTTTGTTTAATTAATGACATTTTTTAAATTAATTTTAAAAATGTAATTAATACTTTTTTATTATACAGGTATTTAGCTACAGGATGTACATTTGTCTCACTTGGGTTATATTTTTGTCGAGGAGAGTCTACTGTTGGTCGCATCGTAGCAGAGACAACAAAGATATTTTGGGAAAAGATGAATAAGGATTGGATGCCGAAACCAAATAAAGCTCAATGGAAACGAATTTCACAACGTGTTGAGTCTTTGTGGAACCTCTCAAATTGTATCGGTAGCTTAGATGGTAAACATATTCGCATCGAGAAACTTCCGAATACTGGTTCGAGTAATTTCAATTACAAGGCCTATCACTCAATAGTGTTATTAGGCTGCTGTGATGCTGACGGCCTTTTTACTATGATAGAAACTGGATATGCTGGTAGGAACAGCGATGGAGGGATATTTCGAGCTTCAGCAATGAAATATTGGTTAACACGCAAAGAACTTGATATACCTTCACCTTCAAAGCTACAATATGACGAAAATGACTGCGAATTTCCTTATTATTTTGTGGGTGATGAGGCATTTCCATTATCGACATATTTGATGAGACCATACCCAAGACGAAATCTAAACAACGTACAAAGAGTATTCAACTATCGACTAAGCCGTGGTAGAAAAACGATAGAGTGTACATTTGGAATGATGACAGAGAAATTTCAAGTTTTAAGTACTGCCATTCGTTGCCATGATGTTGGTAAAGTCAATGACATTAAAAATCATGTTGTATTCTACACAATTTTGTACGAAAAAGAGAAGGAACTCAATATACAGCTCAAGATTTTGGAAATGTCGATCGTCGTAACACCGTTGACCTTACTAATGGTTTTTCATTAGGTGAACATACAGACACAGTAAATGAACACTCAACAGCTTATTCATTAAGAAATTATTTGGCAAGATATTTTATTACTCCACAAGCATCGATTCCATGGCAATGGAATTCTTGTATTTAATGTTTGTGTTTATTAATTAATATTAGTTTTCACATATAGTCGATATTACATAATATAGAAATAGAATTCAACCATACTCAATTAAATTTAAAATTACTTAAAATGTACTTAAATTATACTTAATTTATACTTTAAAGTAAACTTGATAATGTTGTTATTCATTAGGTAGGTTTTTTAGGTAGGTAATCAAATAATAGTTATATAGGTAATTTAATAATTCACAAATAAACAATTTACTATCACATTTATTACGTTTTACTTTATTTGTAATGTGTATTATTTTCGTATACAAATGGGAAAATTAAAATATGTAGTTTTGGCTATAATAATATCTATCAATTAATAATAATATGGACATATTAATAGGTACCTTTATAATAATATACATACAGCAGTGAGCTCAATAATATATTATTAGATAACATTGTAATAACAATGTCACCGATATGGATATCTATAAACATCATTACATTTAGGTCCATAAATAAATCTCTCCATTGAATACTATTAATATAATATTTAATTATAGTTATTAGTTGGTACTTAGGGTATTATTATATTGTACGTATTTATTTCGTGTGTCGTTCGTGATCCAAGGAGTCACATGGCTGCAAAATCTGAATTGAATTTAGGGAATAGAAACTTACGAAATCAATTTGTAAAAATGTTATTAATATTATTAAGAAAATATAATAATTTAAAAAAAAAGTGCAAATTAAATAATTATTTATGTTTAAATCATATACATACCTATTCTAAGTTTAATATATATATATATATATATATATTGTAATAAGTTTACATATTACAACACCTTAGCTCAATCTATCTATCTTAATTTAACTAGTATGTATCATAAAATATACAAAAAATACATAAGTACCATATACAAATGTATATTATGTATAAAATATATAATACTTACCAGGTATTTTAACTTCCGTTGATACAGCATGCCATGCCTTGTCCACCAAATCTTTCCTGCAGTAGTCGGGAATCGTATAATTATATAGAGGTGGGTGTTTTTCAACCTCACCCACGAATTTTATGTTGAACGCCTCCATTATACAAATGAAAATAATAAAAAAATGTATATGCAATCGCGTAGAACACGCACGATACGACTACCAGGCGAGTGGCGACCAGCATTGCCGATCGCACGTGTCGTCCGTTGCTCGTGTCACGGTCGCGTCGCAATCGCGTTATAAACAAATCGCGTTGTTAGTGGAACTCTATTCAGTTTGCTAAGAAATCGCGAGAGGGAGAAATTGCGTCGCATGTCAATCACGTAGTGTGCGGAAGGCCTAATAGGCAATAAACCGATATAACAGACAGTGGTGACCAAAATAATATCGTAATGAGAGAATCTGAGAATCTCTCACCACGCGACCAACGACGGGTCAAAAATGGTATAAGAACTATAATTTTTTAGATAACCTGTTTATTAAAATCAAATTTTAAACAGTATAAATTAAAAATTTAGTTGGAATTTTTTTTGAGCTCTTCACTTGATAAATTTTTTTTTTCAAATCGTCGACCAACTCCCGATTTTTATTTCCACGTTTGCAGTACGCTTTAAAATGTCCTATTGAATTTCGAAGTCTGTTTAAACCTTTTCAAAGGAACACACACCTCTTAGTTCATAGGTTTTTTCCATTGATCACTAATATTTCTGCTATGTTTTCTAATACAACACAGACCTGTTGTGCAGAATCGGTACTTTGAAATGTTGAGTTGACATCGTCATCTAAAAGTTACAATTAATAAATAATTATTATTATAATCGTGGATTTAAATTTACTAAAAAAGTAAAAAAATTCTTTCTTAAAAGAAATTATCAATCTTAATAGTGTAAAATAATCTTTCTAAATATTGTATCTTTCTAAATGGAGTATAGCCTAAAAAAATTAATTTGCAACAGTTAACAGAAATAAATTTGTTATAAATTTGTTATTTGACAGAATTTATTTAAAAATTGTAGGTATAACATTATCTTATAAGTTAAAATTTAAGAAATGAACATTACATTAATGTAAATATTTATTGATCTTTCAGACATTTCTACACTTAGTTAAAATCCTGCTATTATACCTTGGCCGTATTTAAGGGGGGGGGGACGGGGACATTTGCCCTGGGCGGTCAATTTTTGACACATTTAGTTGGCAGCCAGGCGCGCCGGTGTATATTATATAATTAACCTTTTTTTTTTTTTTGGTAAGAATTTGTTTGAGTACCTATACTTGTACTTTTTGCATTGCATCCCCATGATAAGCCTATTGCATAGGCGTGCGCAGACTTAAATTTCTGGTCGAGCTTAGACAAATTATAGTTCCCTAATATTTGGACAGCGCCCCTATTTTTTTTTTGTTTAAACACACCAACATACATGTTGATGAATTAACCTATTAATGTCTATAGTACTATAGTTGTTGTATTTGTATAAAGCTAAAATGTTTTTTTTTTAGATTAATAAAATGTATGTAGTGGTTGCAGGGTTAGGTGGGTACACACAAATATTTTTGATTTTTTTATACTTTCACGACAAACAAAATTTTCATGATCTCCACGAACATATTATTATAACTCAAGCATTATAATAAAATATTTAAATATATACTCACATTTTACTATGCCTCTAAAAAGTTTCAGGTCGAGCCTGGGCTTGACTGCACGCCCTGTGGCCATTTTGTGTCATTTACTTATTTTGTCAATGAATGATAACTATTAATTTTTGAATTTTTTTTATATAGATTTCAATTGTATGTTGTTATAAGTTTTGACAATAATTAAAATAATGTACCATCGTGATCTGTGTTTTTAACAACATTTTCATAAATAAAGAACTACAACTAAAAAATTAAAAAACGGATTATTTTTGAAGTTATACTTCTTTACGCACGGTAGTGAGGAAAAAAAAGCGAACGGGCGGCCGTACGAACGCGAAAGCGTACATGTCCGTAAATAAATAAATATTGTCATGGTAATGTTGTTTTATTATATATTATAATCGTATATATATATATATATCTGTAAATATAAAACAGTAAGCTGATTGACTGCTATCAACGCACAGCTCAAACCATTGGACGGATCTGGCTGAAATTTGGCATACAGTTAGCTATTATGATGTAGACGTGCGCTAAGAAAGGATTTTTCGAAATTCGCATTTTAAATAGGTTAGGTTAGGTTAGCACATCTATCACAAGTACACAATGTTCAACGCTATCTAGTGATAATAATATACGATAGAAAAGTAAATAGTGTTAAAAGTCGGTTGACCGTAGCCTCGTACTTGTAGAGTTTGTAGGTAGATTTAGTAAATAAAGTAACACACACACGTTTACTATTCAATTAATAAAGTTTATTGCGTTCTGAACATATGCAGACAATGGCACTCTCCATTCTCCACTACTTGTCTTAATATCTTAACGTTCCTTATATCTAAACTTATCTAGGACAATCCCTCCTATATAAAAGTGCTTACTTGCAGTTTTCGGGATTGTGTATGTTTACACTAATTTATAATAATCATTTTATTTCATAATTCTAAGGGCCGTTCTTACGACGTCCGGTTAAAGTTAACCGACACTTAACCGGAAGAATTCTGCCGGTAATAAAATCTGTTATCAGTCGGTTAGCGTTAACCGACACTTTACCGAACATTGTAAGAACGGCCCTAAATGTTTTACAAATACTGCTACATCCTTACTTACTTCCTATGTTTAATAATACTAATCCATAACAATAGTGACTAATGAATAGAAAAATAAAATTGTTACGATTATTTCTCCATAGATGGCGCTGAATGTCTTAAACTCTGACTCTGGTACCTTGTCTAGAGAAACATTTGTGTCACACTGATAAGACATTCGATATCAGTCCATTCTATCTTAGTCCGTGGTGCGTACCACAGAATATAACAAATAACTAACTACTAGTGAATTCGTCGTCCAGCGTTATTATCCGTATTTGCTACCAACGTCGCCGTCATCCGCGCTTACGTCGCGACGTCACGTTTTCTGCTACCGCCGTCGCCGTCGTCCGCGCTTACGTCGCGAACATAATTATCGACCAGTACGCGTCTAATACTACAAGAAGGGTATAGCTGTTCACAGTGTGACGTATTATAACCGGGACCTGTATTGATGGCTTCATTCTGTGTCATATAATTTGAACAGTTACTTACGTTTGTACGAGTTGACTCTTTATATGTAATAGTGGTATTTATCTTCTCTAATTCATCAAGTTCTTTAAATTCTGCATCTACTATCAACTGTCCAATTTTCATTTTTAGTAGCACTTGTCTTTTTGAAGAAAGTGTGCTTACTGTTTTCGTCCACCCCATAAAAGTATGTTCAATCGCGTTCATTGAAAGTTTGTTCTCATTTTTTTCTCTGTAGTAATTTATTACTTTTTAAATACCCAAATCCGTGTCCACGTTTTCTTCAATTGTGCGTCTTTTTCTTTTTGAGGTATTTCGTACTTGTGCAACAACTGATTTTTCTGTGCCGATATTCTCATCTTCTATTTCTTGACTGAACTCTGGTCTTGGTTCAGTTGTAAGGACGTTAGAAACAGATTCTTCTTGTCCAGGAATATTAGAAAGGGTGCTGTAATATTTATTAAAATTATTCTATTTAAATAATAAAATTAGCAATCATATTATCTAGCTAATTGTAAATACGGCTTTAAAAATTCCATCTGGGTAACCCATTGCCACTTTTTGTAGTTGGCCAAACTTTTATTGATTACCTCATTTGCACCTTGACCAGTTCTTGTTTTATTTGCTCGCAAATATTTTTGATAATTGTCTTTTAAATTGCGCCACCGTTTGTATAGAATTGCTCCTAATCAAATGTTATGTGAATAATTAAAGTGTTTTTTTGTGTTTATTAATAATTATTAAAAAATCAATAAATTACAATAAACAAAAATCATAAAAATATATAATTTATACATTTTAATTTTTATTACACTCATATAGGTATTTAACTATTTTTATTTTTAAAATTTTAGTAGACATTACAATAATTATAACACCCTAAACCCAAAATCAATTTAAAAATAGGGAACTCGTTTCCTATAGTACGTTTCGGATGTAGGTACCTCGTTATTGTGTAGATCAATGTAATTGTTGTGTTATATTCGAATTTATTATTAAATCATTGCATAGGTACCTACAAAAAACTTTTTGAGTTAGAACAGTATATTTTTTATTTATTTTTATATCTGCTTTCAGTTCCTACCTAATAGCATGTTAAATTATTTTTGCAGATAAGTGAATAGGAAATAACTTAGTAAAAAAAAAATTATAAAAAGTAGAAAATTTAAAATCTTTATAAATGTCAAAAAAGAAGCCGAAATATTTAGTAAATAACACTATGATGTAATAGTATATTAACTGATAGGATAAATCTAGTTGGATAAGAACTTTTCTTTTGGTGGATCAAAAGTAAAAAAGGTGGGTAAGTGGATGTCGCTCTGCTGTACCGTAGGTTACAAGTGGGTCACTGTATAATGGATGGTATTAAATTTGAATGCAATGATATAATATCATTGTATAAGAAAAACGGTTCTGAGCGGAGACGGTATGTCAGTCTAGGTATAAGACATATTTTATACTTTTCTATGGTATTAAATTATATGGAATTTATGAATAAATTCCTTAAAATATGCACAGTTTTATCATGAGCATAATTCTTATTCCTTATACTAAGGTAGATTGTATGGATAGGTCATAATATTTTGATTTTTCAGTTTCATATATCCCTGAATAATGTTTTTAAATTACAACAAAAACAAAGATCATTAATATTGATTTTAATATGTAATTTCGTCCAAATTTGAATTTAAAATGTCTGTAAAAAATAACCGTGTTCATATATTTTTTAGATTTTTTGGATATAGTATGAACTATTTATGAGAACCTTTGTTTTAAATTTGCAATCTTTAGCTATAAAAACTGAACATTTTATAATTTATTAATTACAATGATTGATAATTTTCGAGATTTTGATAAATTTTGTCAAAATTCCATGTTTAAATGCTTATAAAAAAAATTGTGCCTATGTATTTTTAATATTTTTCAATTACTACTGTAACAATATATCAGGAACCTTGTATTAAATTTTTACACTTTTTGGCCCAACAGATAAAACTTTATTTATATTTATGGAAAAAAAACTAAAAAAAAATGAAAAATGAAAATGTTCCTAAACAGTTCAAAATAAATCAAAATATTTTGAAAATATTATCGTGTATAGAAAATTCAAATATAAACAACCAGTGAAATTTTCATGTATCAACCTAACCTAACCTAACCTAACCACAGGGCGTACAGCCGATTCACCAAAGACCTTACTGTCTTCCCTACTCACAGCAGTCAGAAATAAATAAACAAGTAAACGAACTCTTACAGGACGGAGTAATCACCACGAGTGACAGTCCTTATAACGCACTTCTCTTGATCGTGCCAAAAAAGGTAAACGATTCGGAAGAACAAAAATACCGTGTGGTCGTGGACTATAGAAAGCTCAACAGCATCACCATCGGCGACGCGTTTCCAATGCCCAATATCAACGAAATATTGGATCAGCTAGGTCGAGCTAAGTATTTCAGCTGCCTAGACATGGCCAGTGGCTACCACCACTCACCAGGTACCACTACACCCAAAGGACCAAGAGAAGACTGCTTTTAGTACCAACCAAGGACATTTCCAGTTTCAGGGAATGTCTTTTGGACTAAAAGGGGCACCTTCGACGTTTCAACGTCTGGTCAACAGAGTACTAATGGGTATAAATGGTTTCCGGGCCTTCGTATATCTGGACGACGTGACAGTAATAGCTTCATCGATCCAAGAACATAACCGTATGAGGCAATATAATCTCAAGTTGCAGCCGAGCAAGTGCGAATTTATGCGACGGGAAGTAAATTACCTAGGCCACTTAATATCTGAGGAGGGCATAAAACCAGACCCTAAAAAAACATCGTGTTTGACTAACTTTCCAGTTCCACCCAACCCAAGGGAGGTTAAATCCTTCCTGGGACTCGCGGGTTACTATCGAAAGTTAGTAAAGGATTTCAGTCAAATATTCTCAAGAAAGAAGCGAGGTTCGAGTGGAAGGATATATATGGATATATGCCAACACTCCTTCGAGACGCTTAAGCGGGCCCTTACCATCGAACCAATACTACAACACCCGGATTTCACTCGGCCATTTCTGATTACCACAGATGCGTCAAGTTCGGCTATTGGGACCGTTTTGTCGCAAGGACGAGTGGGGTCGGATTTGCCAATATCATATATATCAAGAACACTCAATAAAGCAGAGGCAAACTATAATACGACAGAAAGGGAATTGTTGGCCATCGTGTGGGCCGTAAAACCATAGGCGGAGATTTGATCAAATTTGAGGGGGGGCTTAAATGTTGATTTGCAAAGTAAGCCGTGGAGTCTTTGCCCCCACACCCTCACTCTAATATCTATCATACCTTCACTCTTCAATATAAATAGGCAATTTCAAATAATTAATTCATACCTTTACTATTTTACACATGTCTAGAACTACTAAATTAACTTTGTGTGCCATGCAGTGTGTAAAAATTGCATACGGATGTTTTTCTTTAATCTTTGCTTGGACACCATTAAATCGCCCATAACGCTGGCCCCATTGTACGACTGGGCTACAATTGTCATTTGAGGGTTTAAATTACATTGCTTGAGGTAATCTAACATAGTTTTACTTAAAGTCTCTGCATCTTGTTTATATGAACAATCAATGAAACCAATAAATCTTTCTTTGATTTCTAACCCTTTGCAGTATCTCAAACATAAAACCATTTGCTCATCTTTAAAACACCTGAAAAATTCAAATTCAATTTTAATTGATCAAATTTCCAATTAACATTTTTAATTTATTACCTAGCTTCTTCGCACATTTTTCCAAATATGCCCACATCTTCAACTTCTTGTAATATGGTATCTTTTGATAAACCTGCACAAATATTAATAAGCTCATCTTGAACTCCATTGCTAGTATAATTTTTTTTCTCTTTATATATCTGGGCAAATTCAGGATATAATTTAGATATCATATTACAGACTTCTTTAAAATTTCTTAAATACAATAATTAATTTAATTTAATTATTAATAAAAAAAATTATTATCCACTTCATACCTTGATTCATGGAGCTGGGAGCCATTGTGGCCTCTAAATGCTAGGCCTTGTCTGCACAAAAACAGTGTCACTTCACACAAAGTTCTTATATATCTACGATAACTTTCAATAAGTAGCTTATGTTGAGAAGAAACCTGTGCCATTACACTACCAGTTTTTCAATGTCTTTATGTGACTGCCATTTTTCCATATTAGTAAGATGATATTTTGTTGTTGCATGCTAATGAAGTCTACTTTGATGGCTTTTTTTAAATCCTCTTGAACCACTTAACTGTATTAAATTTAAACGTAATAAGAAAAAAAATGTATTCAATCAAATTGTTTAATTATTAAAATGTTTACTTTATTCCATTTTTTAAAACCAATTTTGTTAAATGTATGACAAGCAAAACAGTACAAAGCGTCATTGATGAATATCAATATAGTAATATTCAAGCCATTCAAAGCAGTCGTAATATGATGCATTAAAACTACGGTTTTGTTGACCACATTTTGACATTGGATAAGACTGGAACATTAAAAGTACCTAGTAGTCACTATAATAGTCACTCTATACATTTTTGCATGCCTACAACTTTAATAAAAAAGTAAGCTACCTAAGCAATATTTATCTCAAATACCTACATAATATCTACCTTCATAATTGGACGTGATGGACCAGAGTTAATATTACCCAAACCATTTATATCACTAATTTGAAGCCGCTGAGAATCAACATCAATATTCGATGACGAGTCGGAGTGTACTGTAGTGGTCGGCAACACGTTTTCAGATTTTATAGTTTCTGTTTCTTTAGGTTTTTTTTTTTAAATTAAATAACTCAAGATAATTTCACATTTTAATAAATAGTAATAACGATTTACAACATCAGTGAACACCTCAAGACGCAACACGAAAGACGGAACGGTCGAAACAGCAATCGGCACATTAATAATGTTTATCATTCTCGAAGAATTTCATGATGGAGTGCTAGGAGGCCACCAAGGGATCTCCAGGACAATAAAGAGGATCAAGATGCAACATTCCTGGAAGGGACTTAAGGAAGACGTAATAGACTTTATCAAGAAAAATCAATCTTGTCAGGTCAACAAAGCCAGTAATCACACAGTGAAACAACCTATGGTCATCACGACTACAGCCAGAGCTCCATTTGAGAAAATATTCATGGATATAGTCGGACCAATCACTACGCCCTATAAAAACAATTCCTACATCCTCACAATACAAGACGACCTAACCAAATATTCACTTGCCATACCACTACCTAGGCACGACGCCAATACAATAGCTAGAGTTGGTAGAAAAATTCGTATGTTTCTACGGAGCGCCAAAATCCATCGTAAGCGACCAGGGCTCTGACTTTTTGAGCAAAGTGTTTACGTCGTGTTGTAAACTACTAAATATAGAAAAGTTTTACACCTCAGCGTATCATCCACAAGTGGATGGGGCGCTGGAACCAGTGCCGGATCTAAGTCTCAGGGGGCCGGGGTGCAACTACCAATGGAGGCCCCTTAAAAAAAAAATTTCTTGACTTTACAATTATCTATTTATTTGATACGTTTTGTCGTATTGATATATTAAACAAACTAAAAAACACAAAATTTAAATTCCATAATTTAATAGGTAAATAAAATTATGAAATTATACATTCACTCACTGTTCTCATATCTATTATACCACGCTTAGATATTATGATGTATTAATCATTAATGTATGCTTCTATGCTAGTATAATATAAATTAAGAATAAATATAATTAATATGATATTGGCTGTATATTCTCTATATTGTCCTAAAATGAAAGGACCCAAATATGAATCGGTACCTCAGTTACCTGAATTGTATACAAAATTATTCATCAATCCTTTATATTTTTTTAATTCATTGTTTTGAACATTTTTCTCCGTCTTTTAGATGCAACACTTTCAAATTGTCTGTTAGACGTGTTTTTTTTCAAAAGTCAATAAAAGATAGTGTAGGTAGGTACCTAATTTTTATTTTTAATAATCAAATGAAAAACTAATATAATAGAGTGGGTACTCAAAAATAAAACTGACAAAAGTACAAAATAACATATCTGAAACCAATAACACTGCATCAAGGCGAAGGCATGTCCGTAAATCATAATCCATTTATATTAAACAGTATTAATATTAAATACATATAACCGCGGTTACATTATTAGTTTGTCCAGCAAGATACTGCACTAGCGCGAGTTCACGAGCCTCTGATATTAAATATATAGTACGATTATACGAAAATAGTATACGATGCATAGGTACTATATAATATAATTAATGAGTATACAAATAAATATGTAAAACAAACAATAACAATGATGAATAGTATTACTTATCTAAAATTCAAACCGTCCAAAATAAATGGTTGTCACTTGTCAGTAACATCTTAAAATAATAAAATTTGTTCATTTTATAGTAAAAAGTTATAGAAAGTTAGAAAATTTAGGACTTTTACCTTAGGCCCCTAATACAACCTTCGTCTTGAGGCCCCGGTGCAATGCACCCCCTGCACCCCCTCTAAATCCGGCACTGGCTGGAACGCAGTCATAGGACGCTGGCAGAATACTTACGTCACTATGTGGACAAGAACCTTCAGGACTGGGACGAGTACATTCCTTTTGCGATGTTTGTCTACAACACCACGCCACATTCAACTACGGAACGTCATCCATACGAACTTCTTTACGGCAAGCCGGCCGAAGTTCCGAATTCTCATTCGCGCACAGAAGAAGTACGGTACAACTACGACGATTACTGCTACGAACTGAAACAGCGGCTGCAACGCGCACACGACACCACACGTGACACTATCGTGAAGAAGAAGGAGAAGTCTAAGGCACTTTACGACCGGAATGCAAAACCAATTACAGTGCATGTTGGGGACAAGGTGTTGACAAAATGGCATGCGAAGAAGGGCAAACTCAGCGCCAACTGGAAAGGCCCATTCGAGGTAGTCGGACGTACAAATACCGAAAACATAATAATAAGGAAGGGACGTCGGGAAGTGAAGACGCACATTAATGACGTCAAACTCTCCCACGAATAAAAAAAAAAAAAACAAAAAAAAATAATAATATTAATCCTAATTCAGGTACGTCGTCCTGGCACCCGTAAGTCATCATAATCCCCCCTTATCTATCTCATTTTTTTGTACCCGATTTGTATCCATTTGAACCCCCCTTAAAAAAATTTGTACCCCTCTCCTTTTTACGGAAAACCAAATCCCCCGTCCGGGTGCTGTGACGACGTCGTCCTGGCACCCGGAACCACCAAAAGTCAACCGATCGATCCCGGACATATTTCATTTTTTTGTACCCGATTTGTATCCATTTGAACCCTCCTTAAAAAAATTTGTAGCCCACTAACTTTTACTCAAAATTGAATCCCCCGTCCGGGTGCTGTAAAAACGTCGCCCTGGCACCCGGAACCTCCAAAAGTCAACCGATCGATCCCGGACATATTTCATTTTTTTGTACCCGATTTGTATCCATTTGAACCCTCCATAAAAAAGTTTGTACACTTCTCCTTTTTACGGAAAACCAAATTCCCCGTCCGGGTGCTGTAAAACCGTCGTCCTGGCACCCGGAACCACCAAAAGTCAACCGATCGATCCCGGACATATTTCATTTTTTTGTAAACGATTTGTATCCATTTGAACCCTCCTCAAAAAATGTTGTAGCCCACTCACTTTTACTCAAAATTGAATCCCCCGTCCGGGTGCTGTAAAAACGTCGTCCTGGCACCCGGAACCACCAAAAGTCAACCGATCGATCCCGGACATATTTTATAATTTTATATTAAAAAAATTTGTACCCTTCTCCTTTTTACGGAAAATCTAATCCCCCGTCCAGGTGCTGTAAAAACGTCGTCCCGGCACCTAGCGTCTGCTTTGAACACGCAGTGCTTGGGGTTTTTAAAAATCTTTATTTTTCGGTTTATCCACTTAATTGTAATTACTTTAAGATCAAATTACATTAGAACCTAATGATTCGCCCGTAGATATGATCTACAACATTTAAACTATATTTTTTGGGTGATATAAGTTATGACTTTTCGGGTTCATATAATTATTAGGTGTTTACAACCTGCTCACACTGCTCGTGGTTAGATGATAGATTTCATAATATAGCACTATAGTATACGGTCCTGGTATCTATATTCAATATTGTTATTTGACAAAAATACAAAATTACTTTGTTTTATTTTACTAAATAATAAAGTGTATTATTCTCAAATTCTAAATACAACATTACAGCATCAATGCCTTATAAAATAATCTAAAGTTTAAAATTCCGAATTTGCTCATGACTCACGTCGATTACTAATTTAGTAACTCAGTATAATATTATAAATATCACTTAGAAGAAATATTATGTATACACTATATGCATCATAATAAATGTTAAGATATTATTAATAAATGTTCGTGATGTGTAATCATAGCACATTAGCACGTAAACAAATGTATTTAGGTTAATTTTAATTTTAGAACACACGGTCTATAATCAACTATAATCAAACTAGGAGTTATGTAGGTGTCAAGATGACTCACAAAAATACATCTTAAATGATAGCCGGATCGATAAAACAAACTATATAGTGCACCAGTTTGGATTTTCTGCTATTTTCAAGGAATAAATGAAGATTTATTTGTAAACTAAATCAAATGACCAAACATTTTTTTCTAATTCTTATACTAAGAAAGTGAGGTAGGTACATACCAACCAAAAGATGAACCAAAATTATAAATTAAAAAAAACTAATTTAGTATTTTAAAAACACTATAAATTAAAAGTCTTTTCAAATTATTGTAAAACTGGAACATTGTTATTTATAAGTGTAAAACATATAGTTTTCGATTCCACCGAAACCTCACTATACATTTGAAAAAGTTAATTTTGTTAGTTCCAAAACCAATTCATTTTATTTCGCTCGAAGTAGTTTTAGTTATTATAATTATAAGTAATAATGTAATAATAGTTCTATAATGGAGTTATGCAGTTGATTCTATATCAAAAACGTGATTTTGTTTAAAAACTTGAATATTATACATTTTTTTTAGTGAAATAAAACAAAGTTAGGGGGGACGGTGTAGCCGAGGGGATAAGGCGTCGGTTGCGACGCGCACCGTCGCCGGTTCGAACCCAGCTACCGGTGATTTTTCGCTCCGGGAAAGTCATGATTTCTGGAGCGAAAGGCCGCCATCCCCCCACCGGGGCATGGCAGAAACCTACGGGTGCCCCATTAGAAATTCTGCCACCACAACACACGTGTTTCAACCTTACCGTTCCAAACCCCACAAAAAACCCCACAATCAGCTAATGGCCATAGTCGCCGGGCTTAATAGAGATAAATTAAAAAAAAAAAAAAAAATTGAATATAGGTACCAGGCCCGAATACTATAGTGCTATATTATGAAATCTATCATTTAACCACGAGCAGTGTGAGCAGGTTGTAAACACCCAATAATTATATGAACCCGAAAAGTCATAACTTATATCACCCAAAAAATATAGTTTAAATGTTGTAGATCATATCTACGGGCGAATCATTAGGTTCTAATGTAATTTGATCTTACAGTAATTACAATTAAGTGGATAAACCGAAAAATAAAGATTTTTAAAAACACCAAGCACTGCGTGTTCAAATAGCAGACGCTAGGTGCCGGGACGACGTTTTTACAGCACCCGGACGGGGGATTCAATTTTGAGTAAGAGTAAGTGGGCTACAAAATTTTTTGAGGAGGGTTCAAATGGATACAAATCGGGTACAAAAAAATGAAATACGTCCGGGATCGATCGGTTGACTTTTGGTGGTTCCGGGTGCCAGGACGACGTCGTCACAGCACCCGGACGGGGGATTGGTTTTCCGTAAAAAGGAGAGGGGTACAAATTTTTTTAAGGGGGGTTCAAATGGATACAAATCGGGTACAAAAAAATGAGATAGATAAGGGGGGATTATGATGACTTACGGGTGCCAGGACGACGTACCTTCCTAATTCTTCATTTTTATAAAAAAAATGTTCATATAAAACTCTTTATACTAATCAGTAACATAAATTGGACATAATAGTAGAAAACGGCAAACCGCGAACTCTGTAAGCACGGATACAACTGGGCTTACAACACCACTTATATTTTTCAAAATATGAGAGCTTAAGAAACCGTTTTTCTTCTTTGGACTTCTTAGTATGTACTGAGAAAGGATAAGCAAAATTATCTTCTGGAATATTCAATTTCTCAAGAATCCTAGACTTTATGTGATCAGAAGGATGTGTAGGTTTTAAAAAATTCCCTATATCATAACTGAATTCAAATACTTCTAAAGGTTGATCTTTATAACTTGAATTTTCAGTAGGACCCAAAATATTAAATACCTTTTGATCTGACAGATCAACTTTCCTCTTTTTTGGAGACGGAATATTCGTAATAGAATTATCATCTTTAACTATTGCATCTATACTTGTTGCAGTAGATGATTGATTCTGCTTACTCAGCCAACTACTAAGTGTGCTTTGCTTGTTCATGACAAATAATTCAAATTTACAAAACACGTCAAAACAATAATTTTACACAATTATGTACACAGACACACGGTACACGTACAAATCGTACAATTTAATAATTATTTCGTAGCTAGAATCAATGATAAGAGACAACGGTCGAACCACAGACCACGAATTAATATTATCATTATTATATTAGATTATAATATTATATTATTATCACATGCTTTTGTGAACCCATTATAGAGTAATTACTCTATGTTCGAACCGCCAAAACAAAATGATAACACCTGATTCGAATATAGATAACAAAAATATTTTAAAATCTAGGGATTGATTATGTTATCATGTTATCAATAATCATATTATTGACTTCATGCAAAAAAATAAAATTATAATAAAAACTAAAAAAAATATAACAATGGACATGTCTCATATATTGTCAGTTGTCACATATAATTATACGACCCACGGCGGGAATGCCCCCTTCGCCCCTCCACAGGAACGCCACTGATTGAACTTAACAATAGCGATATGACGGTGTTCAATTCGAAAGAGTACTATCCTAATCTTTATAGGATCTTGCGAACATATTGTCATGAGTGGTACGGTCACGAGTGGTTGGAGTCTACTAAATATTTTATCAATAGGTAATACAACACACAGTACTACAGATCATAGTCCGTGTTTTATGTATATCAGATCTGCTGTATTAAAGAAAGATGTGTACTGCAATACTAAATGACCATACTTCAATAACATAATAATAATAAGTATAACAATATCAGTGTTCACAACATTCTCTTTTTCTCATTTCACTTTTTCTTATAAATACAAATGAATACAATGTTAAATAGTGTTGAATTTTACATAAAAATTGTAACAAATTAATAATAATACAAAATATAAAAGAACTTCACTGGCCTTTGTACTAGTTTACATTACAAAATCTTTAAATGTGTTGGGTAGTTGTTTTAATTTTATAGGCCTGGTTGATACCTCTTTCACCAGTACTCTTTTGTTTTCCTCACTACTGCTTCCTATAACAATATTTTTATTACTTTTTAAGTGGATGCTATTTCTTCTGATAATTTTACCCATATATTGTTTTTATCATAATACGATCTAGGAGTATTTGCTTTAGCTATAACCTTCCCCGGTAGCCACATTTTATTTTTTTGAATTAAAATATTTGTATTAGGTTGAAATTGTGATTATGTTTTATTAGTTTTTTTGTCATAGTTGGATTTGTATGTTTGCTGATATACTTTCAGTTTCATTTGTACTATATGTTGAAGTTTAGGTTCTAATAATATGTTAGCTATGGGTAGTTTGTCCTTGTGTCCTTGTGCTGATTACATAATTTTCACTTAATGCCACCATAAAGTTAGGATCATCGTGAGTATTAGGTATACGTTCCAACAATGCTGTGGAGTTGGAGCAACACTTTCTCAGAGCAAAACCAGCCATTCCTAGTCTTGCTTGAAGTTGAGTGTATATTTCGAAGCACTTTAGTTCAGATTGAGCTCCACTGATGAGATCATCAACATAAAAATCTTGTCCAATAACCCTTTTTATTTGTGGGTCATCACATTCATCGGCAAGTTGCGCCAGACAGCGAGTAGCCAGAAATTACCCTGATTTAGTGCCGTATGTAACTGTTTTTAGCTTATAATGTTTCAACGGTTGATCAGGACTAGCTCCATATAGAATTCATTGCAATTCACTGTCACCAGGGGACATCATAACCTGCCTGTACATTTTTGCAACATCTGCGGTAATGGCTATATTAAATAGACGGAAACGCCACAGTATTTGTATGATGTCTGGTTGAACCTTTGGGCCTTTTAGCAATATTTGATTTAATGACAGACCAGATGAAGTGGCAGCTGAACCATCAAACACCACTCGGATCTTAGTTGTTGAGCTGTCAGTTTTAAACACAGCATGGTGGGGCAAGTAGTATGTAGGGAGATCAGTAGACTCATCGACAAGTTCCATGTGATCCAATTCTAGATACCCGTCCATGAATGACTTGCACTGCATTGCAAGCGAAGGGTCTTTTGCTAATAGTTTTTCTAAGTTGAAAAAACGCTTTTGAGCCATTGAACAGGAATTTCCCAGGACCTTTGGATCCTGTTGCAATGGTAATTTGACCAAGAATCGACCATCATGATTTCGCTTAAATGTAGATTGAAAATGTTTTTCTGCTTCTGTTTCTTCTGATGTGCGCTGAGTAGCTTTACTGGTGAAAAACGAAAATCCCGAACTAGAGAGCATGTTGATTGATGTAGGTGAATTGCATTGCTGAGTAATTGGCAACTTACCTGCCACTATCCAGCAAAATTGTGTGAGGTGTAAGGAAGCAAGATCTGAGAGAATCCATTTTTCATTACCTAATATATTGAAAAATATTTCTGTTCCAAGAAGTAAATCAATGTTGCCTGGTGTATGAAAAACTCGGGTCAGCAAGTTTATCATTGACGTGATTTGGCAAAATCAATTTGCTACGATCAATCATACTGTAGACGGCAGCGCATTGACAATTGAAGGTAATGAATACAGAATAGCGGTTAGCTGATGTTCATAGACACGAGAAGAAATGACTGTTGAATATGAGTGTGAAACTGAAGATGCCATCGTGCCGACACCAGAGATACATTGTTGAGCATTACTGGAATAACATAATCCCAGCCTTTTGGCACACTCTTTAGTGATGAAATTAAGCTGTGAGCCAGAATCCAACACAGCTCTACACTTTTGCCATTTTCCATCGTTGCTTTGAACATTTACTAGGGATGTTGACAACATTATGTTTAACTTAGCATGTGAATCCTGCACATTAATAGGACCTGAGAATGGTACAGCTATCTGTGTATGCTTATCATTGGATGGTTCTAAACAGGAAGGTTGATTTGTTGCATCAGATGACTGAGTATCGTCATGTAGTTTCGAGTTGTGTCGTTGGTTGCATTTTGGACAGGATGATAAACGACAATCTTTAAGTTGATGTCCATAATTTAAACAATTGAAACATAACTTTGCATTCCAAGCCGCACTTTTCTTTCGGCAATAGACATCTGGGAAAAGCGCTCACACGAATAGATTTTGTGTGGCTGCGAGAACATATGGGGCATTTGTACGCCTTACTGTGTTATAAAATCTTTCAAAACTATTTATTTTAAAATACTGTAGGTATAGTGGTATATTAAAATAAAACCTAATTCAAGTGTTGAATACTTTAACAATATAAAATAACAAAAACTTTTAAATCAAAAAATATGCAAAAAAAACTTAAACAGTTGAATAATAACCTTATAACAAATTAACATAAAATGTATTCCTTTTTTAAAATCTTAAAAGTGTATAATAAAATTTAAAATAGGTAAATTAGAATAATATATAGTAATATGATAATATTAAAAAACTTAAACATACCTAATCTTTAAAACCTTTAACAATACAAAATGAAACATAATTTTTAAATTAAAAAATGTAGAACTTAATTAATAACTTAGTCTTTTAGTTTTAGATAGGAACTTATTGACAAAAATCACAAATATACGAATCAGGTCTGTCAGTTGATGTGCATAACGCGTATGCCCAAAGTCCACAATCTCTACAACGATACCATACTTCATTGAGACCAAATTCTCCACAAACTACACATTTTTGTTGGAACTCATTTTCATCTATTTCTTCATCACTTAGAATGGTGTTGAAGTTAAGCTGACGTTTACCATCACGTTTAATTTTATTTGATTTTACAGCCGTTATTGATTTTTTTTTTAGTTATATTGTGTTTTTTGTTTAATTACTTTTACTGTATTTTGTTTAGAATTTTCTTGTTTCCTTACTAACTTTTCTTGTTTTATTTTTTTTGCCATTTCTCGTTTTTCTTTTGCTTGCTCCAATTCTAATTCCATAGGTGTATCTGTCAACACTATGGATTTACGTTTGCGTGATGTAGAACGTTTAGTCGATGTGGCATTTACTTTTGGTATTGGACATAACTGTTCAATACTTGTATGATAAATACCAGTTGATGTTGATAATTTATTTGAACTATTCCTTTTGTATCATGTATACTTGTTGATTTATCCTGTAAACTTGGAAAATTAAAGTCTTCTTCTATTGCCTGTAATTCAAGTTCCAAAGAAAAGTTTTCTTGTTCGTTCTCATTACCTTGCCGAGTGCAGAGTTGATTTTCAGAAATATCAAGTTCGTTTTCTAAATATTCAAAAGTAAACTCTTTTTCTACTTCACGTAATTCTTGTGCAGGTGCAAAGTCATCGAATTTATCAGTGTTCAATGGAAAAATACCGGCGCTATTAAATCCCGATAACCCTTTGTCTATTGTAGCTACTTTTGTATAACTTTAAAAATAAAAATAAAGATAAAATACGACTACCTGAATTCGGGCCGCAATCGGGCAATTCCGGGACCACCTCTACCTAACAATTTACTAACTCTAGCCCTAGGGTATATAAACACAGGTGGGATAAATAAACCCGCAGCATTCATTCAACAAACAACTGTAACATTTTTGCCACGTTCCCAGCTGATCATTGACAACACTTGCTTTTGGCCTTTTGGACCCAAACTCCTTGATTGTTTTTGAACAGTTGTAATTCCCGTTTCGTCAACATTAAAAATTCTAGTACATTTATCATTCAGTTTGAACTTTTCTATTGTTTCCTCTAGGTTTTTATAAAATAATCGTACATTAGTTTCATTGAAACTCTGTTTAAACTGGTACCTTCTGGAGTGCGTAAACTTATTTCGGGATTTCTTTTTAGAAATAGTTCTAGCCAGTCATATCCAGCTGATTTTGTTAAGCTGCAAAATCTGTGTTCAATACCATTTGCAACAGCATATTCATAAGCAAGTCGTCTTAATTCAGTTGGTGTTAAACCATAAAAGTATTTAGACAGTTTTAATACATGTTTCGTTAATTCTTTTTCAACCTCATAAGAAAATGTTGGTTTTCTACCAAGTTTAGGTTTACCATAATTTTGATTTTTAAGTCTACCTCGAAGTGTTGATTCTGCAATACCAAAAGTTCGATCAACATCACGAATTTTCCGACCTGAGTTAATGGCAAGTATAGCCGCTTGTAATTGTTCTGCTGTCCATTTTGCTTTTTCAGTCTTCCTAGTATATAGTCTTGGCATTTTAAAACTTGAATAAAAACAATTATTTATTTAACATGAATACCTAACAGATAAATATTGCCAAAAATATAGCCAAATAAGTAAAACTACGAATGGGGTAATACGGCGCATTAAAAGTATGCGCTCCATTCCCCCGACTAGGACGCGCAGCATTACCCCAATCGACTTTTGTTATATAATCAATATACAATGAAATGTGTAAAATAATATTATCTAGTTGGCGATATATTAAATAAAGCTGAGAATATTCTCTACAAAACTATATTTTATTACGTTAAAAAAATAATTAATTACATATAACTTACCACGTTACGAAATCCAGTAGTTATATTTAGTTTTTTTTGGAGATTAAAGACCGGCTTGATAACTTGATAACTCAGCACATATTGATAATATTGTTATAAATATTTTTTCTGTTGATGAGACTAAACAGCTGATTATTTTAATCCAATCACTGAATTTTAAAATGTACTGGTTTATAAGATATCACACTGCGCACAATTACCCAACGCGCGGTATTCCCACACTTTCCCCTAAGGTTTTTGGATAGATATAAAAATATTTAATTGATAGTTTAATATAAATAATTAATATGCTTAGTTATAAAAAAATTACCAACTGTAGGGATGTATAAATAAAAAAAGTTTCAAAATGAACAAAATATTTATTATTTTTAAATTTACCGTATGCATTCCTCGTCGTATATGGTTTTTAAACGAGCAGTTTCTTGTTTAGCTCTTAATAGTAACATTTTTCTAAATTTAATTTTTTTCGTCGTCAGCATTATTAGGCAAACAATTAGGACTGTGGTCTTTACCACTTACAATTGAACCATTTTGCCTAATTGATGCAGATCCTTTGCAAAATTTTTGGTAGCAAGTCAAATAACTAAAATAAAAATATATTAAAGATTTATTAATTTAATCAATAAAAATAAATACACAAAATTCAAAATGAAGTTAATTATCAAGTATGAACAAACACAACTTACCGAACTCCCTTACGTTCACCACCATTAAATTTGTAAAAAAAACCTTTGTCGTCTTCAATGCGATTCATTATTACAATATTTGCAACTTGGGTTTTAAATACTTATAAAATAATATTAACAAAATATCCTGGAAATATACTCAACTACACAAGATGGGACGTTTTTATGTATGATAGCCAAGAACAACTGAAGAACTGCGAAGACGTGAAATCGTGAAGCATAAACGTTGTTAGACAAATCGCCAAATAATACGCGATAACAAGAATAACATACATACACATGAACAATAAATTTGGATTTCCCTGTATTGTTTTTCAGTGCATATTATTTTAGTTTATTATTTTAACCAGCGGCTCGGTAAGAGGTGCGTGATTGGCTTGCCGATCACCGGCAATAACATTCTGAGAATTACAGCGCGATTTATGGGTCTTGTGGAGGGTGGGGGTAGAGCTTATTGCTCTATTGCTCTCTTTAAAATATTATTAAATTTAAGCCGCGGTCACACGGTGATAGTAAAACGCGATAGTTACTATCGATACTATCACGATAGCTACTATCACTATCTCAATAGTGTTCACACTTGGTATAATAAATTACTTATACTGTGATAGTTTTACTAACATAATAATATGGTATTACAATAAAACTGTTAATTGTTTGTTGATTGCAAAAAATATATTCGTTGAAGGTTTTTTATTTATTTTTATAAGTTTAAAAATATGTCATCTGAACAAATTGAGATTGCTATAATACAAATAATCGAAGAATTACTTGTTATTAAAAGAAAATACGGGGCACGTGAAAAAAGGATTTGGGTTAAAAAATGGATTAAACGTAGAAATCAATTTGGTGCATCTAATACACTTCTAAAAGAGTTAGCTGTAGAAGATCCAAAAAGCTACTTCAATTTTTTAAGAATTAATGAAGAAATGTTCAACACACTACTTGAAAAGGTACATTCACCAACTGGATCAATTAAATACACTCCATATATCATGATGTAAATAATAATTTACTTAATCTTATTGCCTATGGTGTTCCGGAATCTGCTTCCACGGACATTCCACAACGTATTGCTCAAGACAGGCAGGCTATAACTGATATTCTCGAATCTCTCGGGAATACTATTCCTTTGAATACGAAACTGGGTCGTCTTGGTAAAATTCGTGGCGACAATGCTGCTCGTCCTGTTAAAATCATTTTCATGACTACCGAATCAGCGGCCAGTGCCCTATCACAGTTCAACCAAGCCAGGAATTCCGGCACCACATTTTTGGATGGTTTTCGGTTAGTCAGAGACAAAACTGTTCTTGAGCGCAAACTGTTGCGTGATTGTCACGCTGAGCTTGATCGCAGAATAAGGGATGGCGAGGTTGGTCTAAAGATTATGTTTGAAAATGGATCGCCGAAAGTTGGACCATCCGTCTCAAAAAACGGGGATGTAAGCCTCCCTCCTCCTCCCATCAATCAACAGCTCAAGTAATCTGCCCCGCCCCCATCATCGGCCTCTACCAGAACTGTCGCGGACTCCGAACCAAACTTACCTGCTTTAAATGTAACGTATCAGATTTTAATTATACCTTTATTGTTTTAACAGAAACATGGTTAAGTGCCAACTTTTTAGATTGTGAGCTTGGTCTCATTAATTATAATATTTATAGATTTGACAGATGCTCTTTAACAAGCAACTGTCTACGGGGGGGGGGGGTGGTGTTCTTATTGGCATTCGTAAAGATATTTCATCTCATTTAATTAAAACAAGCTGCTTAAATGTCGAACAGATTTTTGTTAATTTCTCTATAGGTACTTAAAGTTATTTAGTTGGTGGTGTATATATTCCTCCTTTATCGTCCATTCAACTGTATGAATCCCATGTTAGTTCAGTAAATAATTTAATTAATAAATATATCAACCATACTACTATTATTTGCGGTGACTATAACTTACCCGAAATTATTTGGAATAATGACGATAGTGGGTTATTATATTCTTACTCCTCAACTACTAGAGCTCCCTGTATTCCCGAATTGTTTGCAACTCATTCCTTCTATCAAATGAACAATTCCTTTAATGACCATGGATCTCTTTTAGATCTTGTGTTTACCTCAAACAAATTTCTCATAGTCAATAAATCACTCGAACCGACTGTTCCTACCGATTCATATCACCCTGCACTTTGCAAATCTCTGTCCAATAGTTCCAGTAGTATACCATGTGACCGTAGACAATCATTTTTTAATTTTAATAAAGCAGATTATTTAAAAATCAGTTCTTTCTTGGGATTTTTTGACTGGTATTCTACCTTTCATCCTCTTGATATTGATTCGGCGTTCAACACTTTTTACGACGCTCTCTACCAATCTATACTTGATTTTGTCCCTAAGTGTACATTCCACAAATCGACATATCCGCCTTGGTATTCCCATGAATTGAAACAAATTGTTGCGTTAAAGAAAACGGCCCACGTAAGATTCAAGTCATCTCTAAGCAGTCATGATTACAAAGAATTCTCCTTTCTCCGTGCTAAATTCAAATACCTTTCAAAAAAATGTTTTCTCGACTATGCCAAACAAGCAGATTACTCCTTAAAAAGTAACCCAAAAAATGCTGGCAATTCATGAACAATAGTAGATCCAACCACAATGATATCCCTAAAGTTGTTTCTCTTAATGGCACATCCTCTTGTAACGAGCACGAGTCAGCTGAGATGTTTTCTTCCTACTTTTCCTCAGTTTATTCTTCCAAGGTGATTCCATGTGACTTTGAAAGTCCAGACATTTACTCTTTTGACCTGCCAAACAACGTCTCTTTAACCTTAGATGATGTCTACCAAAAATTATCTGAACTACATTGTAACAAATCTGTCGGTCCGGATGGCCTACCTGGTGTATTTCTTTCCAAGCTGAAATCCATTATATCTTACCCCCTTTGGATTCTTCTTAGGCGATCACTTGATGAAGGCATCTTTCCACACATTCTTAAACTGGGATCTATAACGCCAATTCTGAAGTCCGGATGCCTAACTGATGTCTCCAACTATAGACCCATCTCAATTTTATCGCATATTGCCAAAATGTTTGAGTCTTTGGTCCAAAAGGATATTCTTAGATCATTCAATAATATTATTATGGAAGAGCAACACGGTTTCCGCCCTGGTCGTTCTACTATCACTAACAGCCTAATTTTTCATAATTATTGTTTCAACGCCTTCCAACATCATTCACAGGTGGACGTTATTTACACGGATTTTAATAAGGCCTTTGATACCGTGAACCATGCTGTCTTAGTGAAAATTCTAAAAGATTGTGGCACTGGTGAGCCGCTATTGTCTTGGCTTAAATCTTACCTAGATAACAGATACCAATGGGTTAAACTACCCAATGTTAAATCTAATGTGTTCTTTGCCCCCTCCGGTGTCCCCCAAGGTGGACACCTGTCCCCTTTGCTCTTTTCCATCTTCATCAACAGCCTTAGCAAAACAATAAAACACTGTCAAGTTTTATGTTTCGCGAACGACATCAAGCTTTTTATGAAAATAAACTGCATTGAAGACAGTCTTAATCTACAAAGTGATTTAGATAGATTTGTTGCTCTTTTTGATAAATTAGGTTTGTCACTGAACCTAGATAAGTGTAAAGCCATGACGTTTACTAGAACCCGCTCTCCATTAAAGTTCTCCTACCATATCAATGAATCAATAATTTCTCGCTGTGATGGATTTACGATGGATCTTGGGTTCAAACTCTCCAGTAACCTTGACCCGGGCCTTCATATTGAAATGGCTTGTTGCAAAGCTCTAAGAATGTTGGGTATAATAATGAGATTGTCAAAGGACCTTAACCTAACTTCGTCATTGAAAGTTTTATACTGTTCGTTAGTCCGGCCAATTATTGAATATGGTGCCATTGTTTGGGATCCCCATACTGCCGACAATGCTTGCCAGGTCGAAAGGGTACAGCGCAGGTTCTTGCGATTTACAAGCTTCCTGTTAGGCATCAAATCTCCACCTCATGATTATTCCCCAGTTGCTATTCAACTTAATCTAGCCTCACTGGCAGAGCGCAGGCGCATTATGGGTAGCAAGTTCTTGAATGGACTGTTTGATGGTAGTGATGATTCCCCAACTTTACTATCCTTAATTAATTTTAAAGTACCCCAACGCTCCACCCGCTCCATTACTCTATTTCATGTCCCTTTTTGTTCCACCAACTACTTACTAAATGAGCCTTTAAGGCGTATGATGCATAATGCCAATCTGGACCCCACTTTCTCTTTTAGTTAGCTCTGTCATATTTATTATTATTGAAATGCATATGTATATTTTTAATATTATTGTTATTAATATTATTATTTTTTGTTATTTTTTTTCATCTTCTATTTACTTTTCTTTCTTTGTAAACCATTTTATTACCAGTTTTCTATGTAAAAAAAGGGCCTAGCCCGTATATTCCAATAAATAAATAAATAAATAAATAATTGTATTATTTGACCTAAATAGGTTAGACCCAGAATTCAAAAGCAAGATACGATGATGAGGTGCGCATTGCCTCCTAAGTTGAAGCTAGAAGTTACGTTTCTTTACTTAGCAACTGGGGATTCTTTCAAAACACTGCAGTATATATATAGAGTAGGAAAATCTACCATATGTGCATTTTTACCTGAAGTTTTACATGCAATATTTGAAGAATTGCAGGAGTATATTAAAGGTAAAGGAAGAAACATTTTAGTATCAATTAAGTAATTTAATTAAACACTTTAACAATAAACAAATAAACGTTTATGTTTTAAAATAAAACAAACATAACTGTAAACTTCATAGCTAAAAGTAACTAAGTACTTAGTAAATGTGTATAAAAAAAACAAAATAAAATAAACATAACTGTGAACTTCATTACTAAGTAACTAGTAAATATGTATAAAATCTCTTGTTGTGTTAAAAATAATCTATTTAGTTGTTTTCTCAATTATTATAAAATAAAGAAATAGCTGAAATAGGTGAACTATGTGATATTCAACTGAATCATCTGATGAGATACTTGTACTTGATGTTAATGGTCTTGAAATTGTTTCAGCTTAAATTCTAGCGTTAGTTATTAAACCTTGAATTTTTTCTTGAAGTAACAAACCTTGTTTTATTGGCAACTTTTCAAGTTGAGCTGCAATATATTGTTAAAAATTGAAAATTCGTTGTTGGTTGCCTTTTGAGCACAAACAGATTTTATGTCTCAACTGCATAGTTTAATGAATTGTCAATTTTGCACATTTTATTACTAGCTCTTCCACTATTTTTTTGAGTACGTTTAGTTAACTGAAGTGTAACTTGAGATGTACTTGTAGATATGACAGTACTATCTGTGGATGCATGGTTTGGTTCTTCACTTTCGTTTGTTGTACCACTTTCTTGGGATGGAGTAGCAATAGTATTTTCTGAATATGTATTATCCTAAAATAAAATATGAATAAACAAATATTTATAAAAATTAAATGTACGCAATATTTTTTTAGGTTCCACGTGAAAAAAACCCAATGGCAAAAAATAGTTCATGTATTTGAAAATATTTGGAATTTTCTCTCATGTATTCGAGCTATTGACGGGAAACATATTGTTATGGAATTTCCATCAAATACGGGCTCTGATTATTACAACTACAAAGGTACTTTTAGTATTGTACTATTAGCCTTAGTTGACCATGAATATAATTTCACTTGTATTGACATTGGAAGCTATGGAAGTAATTGTGACGCAGGAATATTTGCAAAATCATCTCTTAAAAAATCGTTAGAAGAAAATAAATTAGATGTACCAAACAATTGTGTGATTTTGGGTGACGAGGGTTTTCCGTTGCAAACATACCTAATGAAGCCATATGGAAGACGTAACCATTTAAGTATTCGTGAAAAAATATATAATTATAGACACTGCAAAGGCGTGCAGTGCAAGGCGAATAGTTGAAAATGCATTCGGAATTTTGTCTAGTCGTTTTCGTGTGTTTAGACGACCCATCTCATTAACACCAGAAAAAACAGTAAAATTAGTGAAAGCAGCTTGTGCATTACATAACTGGATTCGTAAGAATGGAACGTCATCTAACTCTATCTCAGTCGACATTGAAGACACAGAAATGGGACATATAATACCAGGATCATGGATCCGATCATTCAGGTTTAATACATTTAGGAGCACCAATGCAACGCAAGATGCATGCATAATAGTACGAGAATCGCTTTCTTGATAGTTTGATAGTCACTATCGATCAGTTCACACGATGACAGTCTCTCGATAGCAGCTTTCACGATAGTAACTATCGCGTTTTACCATCACCGTGTGACCGCGGCTTAATAGATACCTATCAAACAAACATGGGTCAGTCATTAGAATAGAAATTATAATTTATATAACAATATCAGTGGCGTAATTTCAGTTTTTAATAGCATGGGGCAAAAGTATACTAATACATGGCTAAATATTTGAATAATGTCATGTTGATGGGGATTGTGAACAAGGAAAATTATTCACCTTTTCACCAATAAACTCTCATCAAATTTAGCCACTATATAACTTGTTAATACCGATTGTAAATATTCTACATTTTTTATTCCATAAAAAAAGGCATATGTGTACTTGTATATCATATAATATTACATTATATTATGACATTATATAGGTACCTTTTATTTAATGTCTTATATTATATGAATTATTATTTAAATGAGCAATTATAATAGTGCGTAATGACATAATATATATATGCAATTATTTACCTGTGTAGTTTGCATTCTGAATCTTAATACATATATGCGTATAGTATATATTAGTAGAATAGGCGTGAGCAGTCTTTTTTCGAAAAATCTGTCGGTATTTTAAAACATACCTAGCTCAATACAAAAAATAACTCCCCAAAAACTTATAATATGTACAAATAACTCGCCATATAATTCGAAACGAAATTAACATGCATTTTATTTAGCGTATTTATTGGTTTTAGATATTATTTTAGTTTGAAAAGTTTGTACTGTGATATCATTTAAAGTAACAGTATAGAAATCTACAGACATTTGATCATATTATAATAATATAATAATGACAAAAAATGATAATCTAATTAAACGAAATTGTTTTATTTTTGATAGTAGTTGTACCTATATATTTGTATGTTCTGAGCACCTTTTTTACAGGGAGATTTCTTCAATTCAAGTGGCCAGTTCTACATGCTCCACCGCGTAATATAATCTCAAAAAGTGTAATGTATGTTCTGAGCACCTTTTTTAAAGGGAAATTTAATCAGTTTAAGTGATCATATCTACAAGCACAACATTTTAAAATATGTAGTACATGTGAAATATTTAAAATTATATTTATGTAGGTGACCGTAACCTACTACAAACAAAACACAAATCACAATTATTACTAACATCCTATCTACTGATAGGTGGAAATCTATTAAAATTTCAGGGGGGCTAATATTATTAACATCAATGTGAGTTGTGGGAGGGGGGACTTCGATGCCACACAACTAAAAAAGGAGGGGGCTTGACGGACTTTTGTGGGGCTAAGCCGCCGTTAGTTCCCCTCCCATCACCTATTTAATTATGTAACCATTTAATGTAATACCCATGTATGTACTTAATAGGTATCTATTGTAGTATTGTCTAATAAGTTTACTCTGTCTTTCAAAATAGTACGTGATTTTAGATTTTTTTTATAAATTGATATACCAGATACCTACAGGTTAATCTATTTATTATATTTTGCGGTAGGTATTTATTTCCATGATTTTATAATATCATTCTTTGATGTACATATAACCACAGATATATATAATATACAATATACATATAAATATACATATACATTAATTTAGAAAAAAATATTCAAAATAGTGTGAAAACGCTATCACTTGATACCATGGCTTTATGGAGCGAAAAATAAAAAGTTATGATTTTGGTCCAAGTTGTACCACTACCCAAGTTGTATGACGATTTGACGTTATTAATTAATATGTATGCAAATGTTTTTGTAGGTTAGGTTAGGTAAATGTACCATTAAATAGTAAGTTCTGAAAAATATTTTTCTGATTTTAATAGTTCTCGAGTTTTATATTTCCTGTGAAAAATGTATCCTCAAATTAAATTTCCAGATAATAAGTGTTACTGAAATTGTTAATACCTGAAAAATATTTTCCCGATTTTAATAGTTCCCGAGATTTATATTTCCTGTGAAAAATGTATACTTAAATTAAATTTCCAGATAATAAGTATTGCTGAAATTGTTAATATCTGTAAAATATTATTCCTAAGTTTGTTTGTTGCTGTTTTAAACTTCCCCGATTCTGATAGCCCTATACATGAATGTTCTTTTAAATAGTTTGTTCTGAAAAATATTTTCCCTATTTTTATTTTCCTGATTTTAATAGTTCCTGAGTTTTATATTTCCTGTGAAAAATGTATCCTTAAATTATATTTCCAGATAATAAGTGTTACTGAAATTGTTAATATCTGAAAATTATCACTCCTAGGATTGTTTGTTACTGTTTTAGACTTCCCTGATTCTGATAGCCCTCCAGTTTTTCTATGATATATAATGCTATTATAAATTGAGACGAGCGATGAGTCTTAGATAATTGAAAAGCGAGTTGTGGTGTTTCTGTATTATGATTATTTCGAGATTATGTAATGCATAAGCTATAACTTCGTATAAATCTTTGAATCTCAACATACTTTCGTGACGATTTACCCAACGTGTTTCACACATTTTTATAAGGGTACTTTGTCGGTTACTTGGAATATGTTTTTTTATACATTCTTTTAAAACCTCAGATCTCATTGGAGATTTTCGAAAGAAATGTATAATTGTTGAGACTGAACCAATACAATTTCGTATTTCAGGAATGGTACAAGATTTTCCTATCTCTAAATTGAGTGAATGAGCCGCACAGTGAACGTTAAGCGCATGTGGTATTTGATCTCTAATATACTTTTGGACACCACTATACAAGCCACTCATTGCACTCACCCAATCATAACCTTGACCGATTAAATTTTCCATTTTAAGTCCTAGTTTTCCTATTTCTCGTATAATTGCATATGCCATTCCTTTTCCAATAGCATCATAAATAGGAACAAATTCTAAAAAGTCTTCTCTAATAAAACCATTATAAATATATCTTACACACAAAGACATTTGTTCAATGCGAGATATATCACAAGTTTCATCCGCCAAAATAGTAAAAAATGTTGATTGGTTTACTTTCAACACAATTTCTTTTTGAATAAGAGAACTGA